GTTGAAAGAGACAATTCAGAAGACTACTGATGAAGAGTAACCTTCATTACCTTCCTGGATGAATGTTTTGGTCAGTTTGAAAGCAGATTTAATCTGTTTACCAAGCAAGCTGTGAAGGGCTTGTACCTTCTTCCAAGGCATCTTGACAAAATTTCTTCTGAAAATGAAAATGATATCCCATCATTCTACAGACCTGACAGTTTTAAGTAGGAATGCAGATGGTGGATCGGTAAATGGAACAGTCATACCAGTTAGAAACCTCAAAATCTATAGGAAACCTCTGATGGTTTTAGACAATACTCCTTCCTAAACACTCACTACATTTTCTGTGTCAGCATGTTAATGACTGTAAACACTCAAGCTGATCAAAATATTGAGAAGGAGCGCAACTGATCAGAAGCATATAGTTGCACTGAAGTTGACATGTGTTCACAAGAATATCCACATGGACTATGATAAAGTGATTGATAAATGCTACTAGTTAACCCAGTAGAAGATGTAAGAGATTAATCAATAAATGGTTAGACTCTGGTGCTCTATATCTTACACTACAACTAAAGCTGGGCAATTAACTTGATTAATTGATATAATTCATTACCTACAAGCATCAAATGTACATTACTTAGTGCTATGTAAAATGATCAATTAATTAAAATTACCATTAAATTAATTAATGTCAGAAAAATAATAAATTAATCAAAATTAGTGTTTCCGATTGTTAATGTTTTTGATTATTCCAACTAACCAGGTACTTGAAACATTGCCACTGTGATTTCTCATTATCACTACTGATTAATTAAGGTTGTTTGGCTTAACTGATTATTGTCACAGTTCACAAAAGTAAAGCACAAACTGAAATCAGCGTATCCAATTATTACGATTTTCGTTTATTCCAACTATTCAAGTGTCATGTGAGAATAATCAATTAGTTGGATGTAATTAATTAATTAACCTGATGATTAATTAGTTATCAAATTCCACTAATTGCTCAGCTCTGTCTACAACCACTCATGATCTGTATATTCCTGGACTTATTTCACTTATGATGTCAGACATACTTGTATTGCTTTTCTTATGATTGCTGATAAAAGTTTATAAAATAAAGTTGAAGAAAAGCAACTTCACAGTTGTTGCATTATAATGACATTACAGAGTAATTTTTGTTATTCATTGGTTGTTATTGTATTTGGTTTATAAAAAAGAAAATCAGTTTAATGAAATGTTAAAATATGCCACACATAGCAGTGAGGAAAACGTTTTTTGGCCTCTTCCCTAGCCAAGTCCTGGATCTGCCAGTGTTAGATTGTCAGGCCTACTTAATCAGTATTCTGGGTATTACATTATCAGGGCTCAAAGTCACATGGACCATACATATCACTGCCTCAAACTTTGAGCTGCTAATACACTTATACAGTACTTCTCTTGATTAACTCAGGTTAAAATAGTAATTTAAGTACTGTGGGTGTTACTAAAATAAACATCATCTACCCTGATTAGGAAAAGAAATCAATCTCTGCTTCCACTACCAGTGATTTATTAACTTAGTTGTTAAGAGCTCATGTCCCATGCACAGAACCACTGTAATTACTTGGCTGATATAGTATCGAGTAGCTACACATAAATGAATAAAGAGAAAAGACATCTTTATATATATATATATATAATTGATCTTTGCAGTTCACAAATCAAGTCATTCTCTGAACATCTAATATTGCAATTACACATAAGAAAAAATCTAATTTGAATGCATCTTTAATTATGAAAGGAAGTATTTACTTTCATGGTAAAAATAATTACAAGATGTAAATTAAAATTGTTCAACATACCTCTAGGATCAAATTCCATAGGAAACTCCTTAATCAATTTATGTGTTTCCTGGTACAAAGCACAGTAGTGCTTTACAGTAAATCTGGTCAATAAAGAAAATGCTAATGAGCAGATGCCAAGTTTCAAAAACTGTAGCACATTCAAGAAAGTCAATTTGCTAAACAAACCACTTGTAGCTAAATTCCATAATCATAACCACACTAAGGATATAAATAAAATACAATAAAGCTTCAATTTACACATACATAGAGTAAATTATACACTAAACATCAATACAACATGTAAACTAGTTTGTCTTTTTGCAATGACTAGTCTGAAAGATCAAAGTGATTAGTTTGTTTTTATCAATTTGTTACAATGTTAATAATGAATTGGTGGCTCAAAGGTAAATTATCAGAAATTGGTAGTCAACATCACTGGTTCATAGCAGATGAGATTTAAGTGTAACTCAGCTCATAATATTTTGTGAAAAAACTAGAGCATTGTGTTACTTCTAAATCTTGTAAGTGTAGTTTACTCTCTTACACACAATTGTAATGAATTACAAATATCTCCTAAAAAATTAATATCCATGACAGTTTTGTAGCTGGTGTTCTGGGTAATTTGAGAAAAAAATTATGGACTACTATGAAAAACGAATAAAGAAGAAACTATGCCAAGGAATGAATATACATTTATAGGTTTATGTATCTCTCAAACATTCAGTCATACCTAAGTTTTCTTACGACACATTTTATCACTTCCAATAAGTGTTCCTAAATCATATGCCAATTATATTAATTTTTATCCAATCTAAAATCAAAACAATATTTACAGATGAATAATCTTATAACACTATTCCAAATTATAGTGGCCCAAACAGTCTGTCATAAAGTTGGAATTTTGTATATAATATATTCCAATGTAGTATATAATCTACAAACACAGAAAAAGCTGCTAAAACAAACAGTAACTTCAAAAACAAGGTAAACATCCCTGGATAAAACAAATATGTAACATATAATTTATTTCCTACTGCTTGCTGTGTCTTTTCTGAGATTAAGAATAAGCATGCACACTAGCTCAGTTTTCACGCGGTCCAACTTGCTTCTTTGCGAAGTGCTTCGTGAACTTTTATTACTAATTTCAACACGTTGTATAAAAAAATACAAAGTTTTACCATATGACACAACGAAAGCGGGGACAAAATAGATAGGATTCTGGCTAATATTAATAATAATATTGAGTAATAATGGGCGCTAATTATCGTTATTGAAAATCAATTATGCAACATATCATTATCAACATATATTATTACAAAAATAGAAAATTCATTTATATAACTGATATCTTGACAATGAAGGGGCAAATATGTTACAATATAAGTTTAGTTTTCATTAACTGGAGGATTCAAAAATATCATCTGCATACAAATACTTACCTACAACCCTATAACAGCACGGAGGGTGTAGATACACAAACCGTCTGCTACAAGTTCATGGTTTTCGAAACTGTAACTGTTCCTTCTAAAAAGCCCCTATACTATTTCCGGTCACGTTTGTTTAAGGAAAATTAAATGTGTGGGTATTACAAAGTTTCTTATAAAACTGTTATACTCTAAAGACAAATCAATTCAGACAGGATTTTTTTTTAACTTGTAAGCCCGTAATATTATTTGATAAATATTTTTCAATAAATGATTAATGACTTGATATTTAATTTTCATATTTTAACGAAGATATAGTAATCGAGATAATTCTCTACTAACAGTTATTCTCGTAGTATTGTACCAAAAATTGAACAATAAAATAATTTATATATCACCTAGCGTAAAAAAACGCTAACTAAGCATGAGCTGTTTCATTTTTAAATTACAAAATACAGTTACAACGAATATTCAGATATCCTTATTAAAATAATTCTGTGATGATGATGGAATACTTTGTTAATAATTAGGTCTATTGGTTGACAGAATTTAAGTTCTACTGTCAAATTTGAATGAAAATGTACACATTTCTACATTGAATATTTACTCCCAATTATTATAATTTTCTTTACACCTAAAACTTACATATTTTCACAACAATCACAAATTTGTAGAAACAGATGGTGGCAATATGGTGCGATGATTTGAAATAGTTTTTAAACATCCATGCATACGATATCAAGGGTGGCCAAGTGATTAGTGTGTTCGGATTGTAAATCCGTGGTTCGTGTTCCCTTTTGCAATGTATAGCACCTCTTTTGGAGGCAATGGACTGCAAGCTTTGAATTCTCGGATTGGCAGACTGAGCACGCTAACTGCCAGGCCACGCAAATTCATCGAGGGATGAAAAATCAATTTGAGATGTATCAATAAAATGATAGCCTCTGACCACTAAGAAGATCGTTAAAACTAAATAAATACATTTCTGTCTAGACTCATTAATAATAAGTTATTATGTAAATTCAGAATAATGTTACATTTTAAGGGTAATTAAAATTGAAACGAAATTTGACAATTATGCAAGTTAAAGCAGCTAAAAGATATCCAGGGCAACCGCAACGTGTTTTGCCGCCATGTTCAAACACTGACTGTGCTGCCAATCCCTGGTCTTACGACATTATAGGCGTTCTTCACACTTACACTCCCAAGAACATGCTGCCCTGTGCAAATGCAAGTGCTACATTCCGGGTTGCGCAGGTCTTGAAGATATCATAGTTATGTAGAATACATTGCATCCATTTTTAGGCTATTGAATGATAATTATGATGGAAGTGTTTGTCATAGGTCTAACTTTTTATTTCACACTTCTCACCTACTGTTGAAATAATTATGATTATATATGTTTTAAGTTACATAGAATAGAAAAGTGAGATAATAATTTAATTAATTTTAGAAAAAAGTATAGAAATACATTAAAAAAATAATTTTAAAATTGACTTTTCTTTATAGGTAACGTGTGTTCGTAACAGGGATTGTACCATGTTCACATAATAATTCCCTTTACTCTCTTTCTATAGGTAAAGATAAATTCAAATATTCTAGCATTCACTTCTGCCTGCTAAGAGTAGAAACAAAAAATATTAATTTGATGTAGATGTGATTCTGTCGAGGCAGATAAAAATGGCTGAAACAAAAAAAGCTCAACTGCAGCGTCTAAAACTTTTGCAGTTTAGCAATTGAATTGATTGATTACTATACTATTGTTGCGTCATCGAGGTCACGTGACTGGTGTGGCGCCCTCTATTTTCTAGAACTATCTTGTTC